ATAAACATCACCAGAAGACTAGCCATCCCATAAACTTTTTTGACTGTTTCTTCCATATTTTTGTTTGATTTTCTTTTTTTTTTTTTGTTTTGTTGTAGCTTCAAACATCCCATCAATTCATTCACATCCATAGATTGTTTCATAGATGGAATGATAATTGTTTATTCAAATATTTGTATACATATACATACAAACATATGTTTTCCATATAAATATCAGCAGCGTACATTCATATACAGATATGCATATCTTTTATTTGTTTAAAATTCATTCATAGCTATATGTTAGATTCACATTTTTAAAGAAACAAATTTATTTATATATCGATGTATATACATATATAATAATTTAAAATTAAGGAACATATAAAAATGCAATTAAAATATAGAAATAGATAGAGATCGAAATGGAAATTTCCAATAACAAAGGTAGGTGGAAATAATGACATCGAAAAAAGGAAAAACATGTCAAAAATTCGTTCGGAAGGGTCGAACTTTTTTTATAACCTCCACTATGAGCAGCTCACTACTAATATTCATACAACGGTCGGGAATTTCATATAGTGTGTGTCTCATTGCAAATTGTCTGCTACTAGGTTGCTTATTTGGGAAAATAAAATACCAAATATTCTTAAAAAAATCCACGCCTTTGCTAGGCCTTGAAAAAATATTCTTTAAAAAATCCACGCCTTTGCTAGGCCTTGAAAAAATATTCTTTAAAAAATCCACGCCTTTGCTAGGCCTTGAAAAAATATTCTTTAAAAAATCCACGCCTTTGCTAGGCCTTGAAAAAATATTCTTTAAAAAATCCACGCCTTTGCTAGGCCTTGAAAAAATATTCTTTAAAAAATCCACGCCTTTGCTAGGCCTTGAAAAAATATTCTTTAAAAAATCCACGCCTTTGCTAGGCCTTGAAAAAATATTCTTTAAAAAATCCACGCCTTTGCTAGGCCTTGAAAAAATATTCTTTAAAAAATCCACGCCTTTGCTAGGCCTTGAAAAAATATTCTTTAAAAAATCCACGCCTTTGCTAGGCCTTGAAAAAATATTCTTTAAAAAATCCACGCCTTTGCTAGGCCTTGAAAAAATATTCTTTAAAAAATCCACGCCTTTGCTAGGCCTTGAAAAAATATTCTTTAAAAAATCCACGCCTTTGCTAGGCCTTGAAAAAATATTCTTTAAAAAATCCACGCCTTTGCTAGGCCTTGAAAAAATATTCTTTAAAAAATCCACGCCTTTGCTAGGCCTTGAAAAAATATTCTTTAAAAAATCCACGCCTTTGCTAGGCCTTGAAAAAATATTCTTTAAAAAATCCACGCCTTTGCTAGGCCTTGAAAAAATATTCTTTAAAAAATCCACGCCTCATAGAGGTCTTGACAAAATATTCTTAACAAATCCATGCCCCTTTTAAAGCCTTGAAAAATATTCTTTAAAAAATCCACGCCTATTTTAGAACCTTGAAAAAATATTCCTTAAAAGAATCCACGCCTCTTATAGAGCCTTGAAAAAATATTCTTTAATAAATCCACGCCTCTTGTGGACCCTTGAAAAAATATTCTTTAATAAATCCACGCCTCTTGTGGACCCTTGAAAAAATATTCTTTAATAAATCCACGCCTCTTGTGGACCCTTGAAAAAATATTCTTTAATAAATCCACGCCTCTTGTGGACCCTTGAAAAAATATTCTTTAATAAATCCACGCCTCTTGTGGACCCTTGAAAAAATATTCTTTAATAAATCCACGCCTCTTGTGGACCCTTGAAAAAATATTCTTTAATAAATCCACGCCTCTTGTGGACCCTTGAAAAAATATTCTTTAATAAATCCACGCCTCTTGTGGACCCTTGAAAAAATATTCTTTAATAAATCCACGCCTCTTGTGGACCCTTGAAAAAATATTCTTTAATAAATCCACGCCTCTTGTGGACCCTTGAAAAAATATTCTTTAATAAATCCACGCCTCTTGTGGACCCTTGAAAAAATATTCTTTAATAAATCCACGCCTCTTGTGGACCCTTGAAAAAATATTCTTTAATAAATCCACGCCTCTTGTGGACCCTTGAAAAAATATTCTTTAATAAATCCACGCCTCTTGTGGACCCTTGAAAAAATATTCTTTAATAAATCCACGCCTCTTGTGGACCCTTGAAAAAATATTCTTTAATAAATCCACGCCTCTTGTGGACCCTTGAAAAAATATTCTTTAATAAATCCACGCCTCTTGTGGACCCTTGAAAAAATATTCTTTAATAAATCCACGCCTCTTGTGGACCCTTGAAAAAATATTCTTTAAATAATCCACGCCTCTTGTGGACCCTTGAAAAAATATTCTTTAAATAATCCACGCCTCTTGTGGACCCTTGAAAAAATATTCTTTAATAAATCCACGCCTCTTGTGGACCCTTGAAAAAATATTCTTTAATAAATCCACGCCTCTTGTGGACCCTTGAAAAAATATTCTTTAATAAATCCACGCCTCTTGTGGACCCTTGAAAAAATATTCTTTAATAAATCCACGCCTCTTGTGGACCCTTGAAAAAATATTCTTTAATAAATCCACGCCTCTTGTGGACCCTTGAAAACATATTCTTTAAAAAATCCACGACTCTTTTAGAGCCTTGAAAAAATATTCTTTAAAAAATCCACGCCTCTTTTAGAGCCTTGAAAAAATATTCTTTAAAAAATCCACGCCTCTTTTAGAGCCTTGAAAAAATATTCTTTAAAAAATCCACGCCTCTTTTAGAGCCTTGAAAAAATATTCTTTAAAAAAAACCACGCCTCTTTTAGAGCCTTGAAAAAATATTCTTTAAAAAATCCACGCCTCTTTTAGAGCCTTGAAAAAATATTCTTTAAAAAATCCACACCTCTTTTAGAGCCTTGAAAAAATATTCTTTAAAAAATCCACGCCTCTTTTAGAGCCTTGAAAAAATATTCTTTAAAAAATCCACGCCTCTTTTACGAGCCTTAAATAAGCCTTAAAATAATCTTATAGAGCCTTGAAAAAATATTCTTCAAAAAATCCACGCCTCATAGAGGTCTTGACAAAATTTTCTTCAAAAAAATTCACGGCTCATTGAGGCCTTGACAAAATATTCTTTAAAAATCCACGCCTCATAGAGGCCTTGACAAAATATTCTTAAAAGGACCACCATTTGTTGGGCCGTAAGAAAATATTTTTTTTTATAAAAAATCCACTCCTCATAGAGGCATTGAAAATTTTTTTTTTACAAATCCGCGCTTCTAGATATACTGTTTTAGGAAAAATTTATTCTCAGATATTATTGACCTGTCAACATTTGACTGGAATGTTAAAAAATTTTTAAGATCATTTAAAATATACAAAAATTGTAAAATAGGATACACATTTTCAAACATGGTTTTACCATCGTGATATTTCATGGTATAAATATGGCTTTAAAAATATAAAAACAATTTTAAGAAATCATGACTTCATAAAAACATTTCTCTACATCTGCGATGAACAAGAAAACGAATTGAATTAAAGTAAAAAAATGGCTTCATAATTCTTTACAAAACAAACTATCGGGTTGAGAAAAATATGGTTCACCCCCTTCCATAACCTTGGCATTTCTACAGATATCACTTCAACTCCTTAATAGAGGAAGAACTAAAAATGAAAAAAAAAAAAATTCTCATTTCCAACAACCCAACCCCCAACAACTAGGTGTCCCGCTGGTTATAAAATCTCCGGCAGTACATGTGTCAACGACAATGAATGTTTAACATTCCCGTGTCGCAATGGTGGTCGCTGTCGTGATCATAATCCACCGAATAAATACGAATGCCAATGCCCGATGGGCTTTACCGGTATGCACTGTGAATTGGAATTATTGGCATCGGGTGTATTGACGCCATCGCGTGATTTTATCATTGCGCTGGTATTGTGTTCGAGTACATTGATACGTAAGTATGATAAAAAGTAGAAGTTTTCTTAACCATAGAAAAAATATATTTGAAATGGTGAAAGGTAAAAGATTACTAACGAATTAAGAGGTATATATAGAAAATTAGTATAAACTTAATTATATTCATCATAATACAATTATTTTTTTTTATTTATTAATAATAGCCTAAAAATATACACTTATCCAAAAAATATCCATATACAAAAATCGAGCCTAAAATTGTACATATATCCTAAAAGTATACTACATCCATTCAATTAGAAACATATTCTTTAAAAAATCCACGCCTCATAGAGCCCTTGAAAAAATATTCTTTAAAAAATCCACGCCTCATAGAGCCCTTGAAAAAATATTCTTTAAAAAATCCACGCCTCATAGAGCCCTTGAAAAAATATTCTTTAAAAAATCCACGCCTCATAGAGCCCTTGAAAAAATATTCTTTAAAAAATCCACGCCTCATAGAGCCCTTGAAAAATAATTCTTTAAAAAATCCACGCCTCATAGAGCCCTTGAAAAAATATTCTTTAAAAAATCCACGCCTCATAGAGCCCTTGAAAAAATATTCTTTTAAAAAATCCACGCCTCATAGAGCCCTTGAAAAAATATTCTTTAAAAAATCCACGCCTCATAGAGCCCTTGAAAAAATATTCTTTAAAAAATCCACGCCTCATAGAGCCCTTGAAAAAATATTCTTTAAAAAATCCACGCCTCATAGAGCCCTTGAAAAAATATTCTTTAAAAAATCCATGCCTCATTGAGCTCTGAAAAAATAATATTCTTTAAAAAATACACCTTCCAGTATGCCAGTACACCTAAAAGTATGCCATATTTATTATTAAATCTACGTAATAGCGAAATCCTTAAACTATGCCATACATTAATTATTATAAAAACGTTAACTATAGTCTTTAAAATAATGTCAGACTAAAAGTATGCTTTATTTTATATTATTATTTGTGTTATATTTTAATATGAAATGCCTGCATATAATTCTAGCCTAAAAGTATGCCTTATTTATTATAACATTTTATTCTGATTTAAATCTAAAAATTTCCATACAAACTTAGAAATATTTCCTGCCTAAAATTATGCATTAATTTTTTAGTAATTTAAAGGTAATGTATGCCTAAAAATATAATATAGATAACAACATCTTTAAATTGTTCTCTAGCATAAATTGCAACACATTTCTTTTTCAGATCATAATTAAAAAAAAAATATGTTATATATAATTACATTTAAGACCATAAGTATGCAATAATAATAACATTTAATAATGCAGCACAAAATGTTGCTCCCCACAATGTTGTTCCCAAGTTATAACTTTTCTGTTATTTTATTTATTTTCAAAACAAATTTAAAACTTTCAGCTATCGATAATAATTACCATATATTCGAGTACATATATACATATACTTTTTCAAAATATATACATCACTTAAGACCTGAAGCAGCAGCAACATTGTCGTCGTCATCATCATCATTATGAACATGTGCAACTTTATACCCCCATTTTTATTGTCAGCAGCCTTCTGTCGTTGTTGCATATTTTTATCGTTGTTATTATTATTATGATTCTGCCTGAACGTTCACGTTTCATTAAACTTATTGATGTTTTATTTTCGAACAGTTATAATGAAATGCATACTTTCGAATTTTTAATTTAATTACATATGGCCATCGTACATATACCGCACACAAATTGTGCTCAAGGACTACTGAGTCATTTCTCTGGGTGGCGTACTACATATGTTTGTATGTTCGGTATGATGATGCTGCCATACATACACTTGCTCCAGTCACCTTCAGAATTATTAAAACTGAACTATAGGCACACACACAAACATACATTTATACATATATTTGACATTTGCCAACAAAAGGAACAGTGGACTTGGATAAGATGTTTTTTTAAATGAAAAGAAAAAAATAGATCGGTGGGTGTATCCCTTCTATGGGACTTATACTTGTAGGTTTTGTTTTTAAATTTAAATATATTTTTGAAAATTCCCAATTAATTTACACTATGAAAAATCAATTGAATTCTTGGTCCAATGGATTCCTTCTAACCAGCGATTTATTCGGAAGACAAAAATCGAATAGAAATAAAAGATGGCGCATCCGTCCATACATATCACAATTTGATTTATATCCTCAACCACAAGGAGGTGTGTGTTTTAAATTCCGTTTGCCACAAATCAAAATATTCCCCGGGACCTCATTAAGTAGAGGTATTCTTGATGAGAATAAAATTCTATGTCGATTTAGCCATGTCCGCTAGTTTTTCTGTTTGATATCACGAAATTGGAACATATCGCTCCACGTTTTGGTATAAACCTCCATGCAACGGTACCTCCCAATATTCGGTATTTCAGAAGGTATTGGACATGTTTTTCAACCTAATTGGCTGAAATTTGGTCCACTTTTCAGGGTAGCCACCTTCTAACGGATTTTCAGGGAACTTGGATTGATTTTTCAAACAAATTGGATTTTTTTGGTTATCATTGGATAGCAAATCTTCCAACCAAAAATTATGAATATTAGTCCACTACTTGGGGTGGCCCCCATATAACGACACCCTATAAACTTCAGTATTTCAGGGTGCTTGAGCACGTTTTTCAACCAAATTTACGGTAATTTGGTATTTTGGGTTCTCATTTGGTAGAAAATTTTCCTACTAAAAATTATCGAAATTTGTCCACTTTTTAGTGTAGTTCCCATATAACTGTACCTCCGAATATTCGGTATTTTGAGGAGCTTCAGCAGGGTATTCAACCAAATTGATATCTGCCAAATTTCCGTATATCAGGGGTGGTCTTGGCCACTATTTTCAACCAAATTTTCTGATTTGTTTTTTCTCATCGTGTAGCAAATCTTCCTGCCAAGAATTGTCAATATTGGTCAACTGTTTAGGGGTAGTACCCATATAATGGAACCTCCCAAATTGCGGTATATCAAGGTTCTTGGGCACTTTTCCAACCCAATTGTCTGTAATTTGGAACTTTTGGTTCTCATTGGGTGTGCTACCCATTTGAATTAGGTAAAAATCGGTTCAGATTAGAGATGTAGCTTCAATTGATACTTTTGTCCGATTTTAGGTTTGTCAGACTGAGACGAAATCTTGCTCGTGTATTTAATTGAATCTAGAATAACGTGTGCTAAGTTTTGTAGACATCGGTTCAGATATAGCTCCCATACATATTTTCATCCGATTTTATGTAAGTTGTGCACCAAAATTCGAAGTTTTGTCCGTTTGAGTCGAAATTTTACACAGTGTATTAAATTGGGTCTACGATAGCGTGTGCAATTTTTTTAGAAATCGTTTCAGATTAATAATAGATATAGCTCCCACAGGTATTTTCGCGCGATTTTAGGTCAATGATGCATCTAACTTCAAAGGTTTGTCATTTTGAGACAAAAGTTTGCATAGCATATTAAATTGGGTCTGTGAGTTTTGTTCTAAATAGGTTCAGATTTGGATGTAGCTTCATATATTGCTTCGTACGATTAAAGTCTGCCCGATTTATATAAAGGGTATAATATATTTTTTCAGAAATTTGTAAAGCAAATTGATGTGATGTCTACCCCCTGTGCAACCTTAAATTTAATTTTTTGTTGTAGTTGGTGTTGTTGTTTTGGTTGACTTCTCGTTGTCTTCTATCACGTAGCTGAATGATTGTTATTTACTAGCATCGTTTCTCGGTGATTTTTCTCCAGTTACATTTTTTTTTAATTTCATTCTCATTATGCCATCAGAAATGCTATATTACTATTATAGAGGCATCGAGGCAAAATGACAATGTTGTATTCGTCATATTTGTAGTTGTTTATATATGTCTATATATGTATGCATAATAATTGTGCATATGTATAGGTCTTGTGCAGTTGTGAAATTAATTAACGAAATTGGGAGTTATATGGTTGCTGATGCGATGTCTACATACGAGTGTGTGTGTGCATGTACATATGTATGTGTGACAATGACTGTATGAGTGTGTTTTTTTTTTCAATGCGAATTCTATAAGATTTCCAACGGCAACATTTCAATTAATGAGCATTTAAAGAAATATTCCCTTTTGCACACACAACTCGTATAACTGCAAAGTGAAAAACAAAAACCGAAAATGGAAAATGAAACCGCATCAATAAAAACCCCAGATGACAAACTAAGTGTTGGATATGAAAGTGTGTGTGTGTGTGCGTGTGTCAAGTATGTGTCTGTTGACATATTACGGATACAAAAATATGACTTTTAATTATTATGCAGCAGGAGAAGAAAAAAATACACCAGTGATGAAATGCCATCGCAGGTGACATTAAATACCAAGAAGTTTTGCAATTTATTCTGGAATATTTATCACATAAAAAACAGCTACTGCTGAGGATTTGTAAAACAATAAAAAAATATTGACCGCACAATTTAAGTTCTTTAAATGAGGACATAAAAGACAATTCACTGTAAATGGTCAGAAAAATGTGGGAATAAAATCGATGAAGTAAAAATATTATATATAAATTATATATCATCTTTTCATATTTTTATTCATCTTCTCTTAAATATGTAAGCTGACTTCTGTGTAATATTTTGTAATTAAATTCCCTTGACTTTATTATGGCCCACAAAATTTCCATTAAATATTAATTGAAATCTAATACTAATTAACTTGCCACTAGGATAACAAACTTCGTCGATGTTTATTTACATATTGATGGGCGCAAAGAAAAAGTTTTTCTATTTTCAAGTGTTGTCAAAAATATAACTTGAGATTTATTTTTCCAAGAAAATTGTCTGACAAGATTGCCTCAAATCGATTTGATTGGTGTTAATGAAAAATTTCAAAATAATACTAATTTATTTAATATAGGCAATTTTTTGGGCAAAAGAATTAAAATGAAAAAAAAAAATTTAAGAATCATAGTATGCTTTGTTTGTAATACTAAATAAATATATAACCAGTGAGCGGATTATAGATCAAAAATTCCAATTTCTAACCCTGGCATACTTTTTTAATTTTTTTTTTCTTGAAGTGAATTTTTACGTCATAAAATAAACCAGTAAGGGCCGACTATATGATACCCTTCACCACTTTGGGCATATTATACATATGTATCCTAAAAGACGTCGCCTTTTCGAAGGAAGATTGACATGAAATTGAACAAACTTAAATATGTGCTCTTTATCTATATCTAAACCGACTAACATCAATCCCTACACAGCTTACACATGTCATTCTGCTACCTATGCTAAAATTTGTAAATCGATTTAAAGCAAACTTGACACACGCTATTCGGTATGCTGCACTGTTTAAAATTTAATCTCAATCAAACACCCATTGATTGTTTGGTGTACAATAAACATGAATCGGGCGAAACTATATATGGGAGCTATATCTAAATCTGAACCGATTTTCCAGAAATTTTGCATACATCATTGTCAACTTAATTCAGTACACTATGCCACAATTCGTGCAAATCTAATGATTTTCAGGGTCTTTGGTGCACCATTTACTTAAAATCGGCCGAAAATATATATGGGAGCTATATCTAAATCTGAACCGATTTTCCCAAAATTTAGCACACATCATTGTAGACTTAATTCAGTACGCTATGCCAAAATTCGTGCAAATCTAATGATTTTCAGGGTCTTTGGTGCACCATTTACCTAAAATCGGACGAAAATATATATGGGAGCTATATCTAAATCTGAACCGATTTTTTCCAATTTCTATAGGGTTCGTCCTTGGGCCAAACCAATGGGCTGTACCAAATTTCATCCAATTCGGATCATAAATGCGACCTGTACTTTGCTCACAAAAATACATGGACGGACGGACATGCATAGATCGACTCTGAAAGTGATTCTATGCATATTCTCAAAAGAAACCATGGGTCTATCTCGATTATTTTTGCCTGTTACAAACATATGCACAAAGACATAATACCCTGTACCACAGTGTGGTGAAGGGTATACAAATTCGTCACTTAAGGTTTTGGTTCATTGCTCCCCCTGAATGAAATCTCAACTTCACCGAAAACTATAGGCGTCGTCCTTGACCGTAATCGGAAGTTCATGTACAATTTGAAAGCGATCAGCGCCACATTTCCGTCCTCTAATGGAGTAATAGTAATACTATGCACAATGTCACCTTTACCTAATTACGTATAACTCCCACATCAGACTACATACGCCCATATAATTGGTATCAATTTGAAGGTCAACAACTCCTTTTGGATATACGATCAACTTTTCGGGTATATGTCCTTCAGGAGCAAGTATATACGCCCAGAATAAAAATTTTGTAATTTTTCACACAAAAGTCAGGGTCCATTAGACCCGCTACATATTGATCGATCTATATCAAAAAAGGTTTGTTTTTTCTTTATCCCGATAGTCTTCTCCATGTAAAATTTCACGATGTTCGAACTCTATCTGCGGCCTCTGGAGCGACCAGAAAAAAACGATAAAAATGTAGTATTTGGTCCATTTCATACCCTCAATATTAAGCGATCTTTACAAAAAAGGGGGTCTTCATTGGGCCGAACCCATCCTACATGCAAAATTTTCGTGAAGATAAATGTCATTGCATACTTTTAGGTTTGCTAAAAAAAAAAACTATCTCAAATACCTGAAGTTTTTTATCATTATTGTATATTAACATTTGATACATTTTATTGCGTATAACATAATATCATTGATAACACACTGCTGCTGCTTCTAAGTTTCTATAACTATTGCATACTTTTAGTTGCCAATGTTTAATATATCTCATACCTGGCAATAACTTCCAACATACCTCTCAAATCTGTATATTTATGTTCTTGCAACTAGAACTTGTTTATGTTTATTGAAGTGTTATGGAATGTAGTTTTTTACGAGAAATGAGATTTCTTTGAGTGCCACACACTCAATCGGCTATATATTTCACATTTAAATTTGAATATAATAAATGAAGGAGGAGAAGGGGAGGGGAGAGGAGAGGAGGGACGGATTATGGATTTATTCTTTAATTTGCAGTAAACATTTATGGACATAAAGACAAAAAGATTCTTATTTAAATCTATCAGTAATAGGTTTGGTAAATAAAATGTAGTACATACTTTTAGGGCTGCACAAATTTTCAATTATAATAAATAAAGTGTTTATGAAAAAAAAATAAAAAAAAATTGAATATATAAACTAGATATTATTATGTATTATTTTCATAAAAAAGTTGTAGTAGGATGATTTTTCGGAATCGAAATTTGAATTACTTCGAATGTTAAAATACTCAAAGTAACTTTTATTATGTTTTATAAAAAAATAGGAGAGGGCCATAAAATATGAATGTTTTTTTTTTTTTAATTTGCAGTAAATATTACTTACAGAAAGAAACATTCCTATATTAACACTTGTTAAATAAAATATACGCATCTTATGGAGGCCTTAAAACTGATACATTTATGTGCGTAAAATTGTTTCACATTTGCTGACTCATTTTAAAATACAAATATAAAATAATTGCATATTTTTAGGATAATATTTTTTTATAATATAATATTTTTGAATATATTATTTATAATTTATACCAACACATTGTTCATACATACCTACCTACCTATTGGGTTTTAATTTTAAAATAAAATATTTGCATATTTTTCGGATTTTAAACAAAATGGTAAATATGTGTATACTTTTAGGCGTATTTTGTAATAACTTTAATTTGATTGAAACAAAATAGTATATATATTAAAATTATTATTACAAATTATATACTTACTTTGTTCCGATTTACTGCGGAATATATTTTTAGCTGTAATAGAAAAAAATAAAAAAAAAATGAAATTTAATTTAAGCTCACGTAATGAAAATATAAATTCTCATATCACTTAAAAATAACAAGCAACATGCATGATTTCTTTTTTTTAATATTTTGATAAACAAAAAACATCTAATTTATATTATTTTTTTTATAATTTACCCTACTCCCTTCTTTGGGAGATAATAAAGCGCAAGTAGTTTTCACATAAATAGTTTTTTTCGTTTTTTTGTATAGCTCTTAAATAACTTGCATTTCGTGTAAACTGATTATAGTTTACAGAACTGAAAACGCAAAAAACCAACTAAAAATTTACATAATCATATTAATTTGTGTACTTTTCTCTTCTCTCTCCCTGTCTCTCCGTTTTGTTATCTATCTTCTTCACAAAACCACTCATGTTCCTGTTTCATTACACGCACACACACTATCTTGTGTACGTGTTTGTTTGGGGTCATCTGTGTAAATTATTATTATAATATACCAAAAAAAAAAAAAAAAAAAAAACAACAACGTTCCTGTGCTCATCTATGTGTGTCCTGCTTGCTTGATTCTGTCCCTGCCACAGTTCTGGTTCTGGTCTTTGTGGTGTATAATCGTCGACGTGAGGCACATATCAAATATCCTGGACCAGATGATGATGTACGCGAAAATATCATTAACTATGATGATGAGGGTGGCGGTGAAGATGATATGACGGCATTCGATATTACACCATTGCAAATACCCATCGGTGGACCAATGCCACCAGAATTGGCCACCATGAAAATGCCAATTATGTGTAAGTACAATATATGCATACATACATATTTGTGTTGGTGTGTGGGTATGTGTGGGGTTTTGTAATTGTAACATGCAAATGCTAGAGGTTTTATCGATGCATAAACCATATGGCAAAAGGTAATATGGTAACATGGGACAAGAACACGTAAAAATCAGGTCAATGTGCATATTTTAAAATTTATAATCCAATATGCAGAGCATTGAATGAGAGGGAAATAAATAAGCTATAAAATTCATTTTAACGAGGTTGGATGTGAATGATTCTTTATAAATGCCCTGCCTTATGTAAGCCTTACAAAAATATTTTTCAAATAATCCCTGCATTATGTACGCCTTGAAAAATATTCTTTAAAAAAATCCCTGCTCTCTTTAGGTCACTGGAAAAATATTCTTTACAAAATCCATGCCTTCTTTAGGTCACTGAAAAAATATTCTTTACAAAATCCATGCCTTCTTTAGGTCACTGGAAAAATATTCGTTAAAAAATCCACGCCTTTTCTAGGCTTTTAAAAAATATTTTTTAAGAAATCCACGCCTTTTCTAGGCTTTGAAAAAATATTCTTTAAGAGCTCCACGCCTTTTCTAGGCTTTGAAAAAATATTCTTTAAGAACTCCACGTCTCTGCTAGGCTTTGAAAAAATATTCTTTAAGAAATCCACGCCTTTTCTAGGCTTTGAAAAAATATTCTTTAAGAAATCCACTCCTTTTCTAGGCTTTGAAAAAATATTCTTTAAGAAATCCACGCCTTTTCTACACTTTGAAAAAACATTCTTTAAGAAATCCACTCCTTTTCTAGGCTTTGAAAAAATATTCTTTAAGAAATCCACGCCTTTTCTACACTTTGAAAAAATATTCTTTAAGAAATCCACGCCTTTTCTAGGCTTTGAAAATATATTCTTTAAGAAATCCACGCCTTTTCTACACTTTGAAAAAATATTCTTTAAGAAATCCACGCCTTTTCTAGGCTTTGAAAATATATTCTTTAAGAAATCCACGCCTTTTCTACACTTTGAAAAAATATTCTTTAAGAAATCCACGCCTTTTCTAGGCTTTGAAAAAATATTCTTTAAGAAATCCACGCCTTTTCTAGGCTTTGAAAAAATATTCTTTAAGAAATCCACGCCTTCGAAAGGCCTTTGCAAAAACACTCTTTCAAAAGTTCTGTCCTCCCGTGGTCCTTGAAAAATATTTCAAAAATTTACAACTACTTTCAAGCCCCACCTCGTTCGATGTGTGTGTCTCAACCCGTGTGTGTTTGTTACAACATATGATTACATGATGTTCCATTAATTATTTAAAAATAAATTTTTAGTTTCAATAAACTTTTTTAATTGATTTTTGTAACCAAAAATTTTTCGTTTGCTTTTCTCTTTCCCCACCTTCAAACACAGATCTTGTTATGACATTAATGCCCGGCCAGGAGCCAAATGTTGGCATGTTCATCGAAGAACATAAAAAGCGTGCCGATGGCGATCCAAATGCACCGCCCTTCGACGATTTGCGTAACTATGCATATGAGGGTGGCGGCAGTACAGCCGGTTCGTTGAGTTCTTTGGCATCAGGTAAGTTCGAAAACAAAAAATTCAATTTTTCTTTTGCCAACAAAAAAATCAATTTAGAATTAGCACAATAATGCTTCCAATAAAAATTTTAAAATAAAATAATGAAAATAAATTAAATTCGAAATAAAATAGTTGCACTCAATATTCGTAATAATTAGTTGCAGTTGTAGATTTTTTTTAAATGAAAATCGGAAGAAGCTACTCCCCATTATGAAGAGAATTATTTTTAAAAAAACCCCTCTGTAATATTAGTGTTGTTGGCTAGAAATGAAAATGTATACCATAAAAAATAGATGATATTACAACAAGTCGAATACAAATTTCAGAAAAGTATAAACATTTTGTAACTAGAAAGAATTTAAAAGAAATTAAGTCATGTCCAAAAAGCCCTAGGGGAATTTTGAACGATTTAACTAAATTCTTAAAATAAGTGCTTCCACCGATTTTCTGCCGAGAGCTATTAAGGAGCGGAGAAAAATAACATTTGGGTGCAGACACATCCTTAAGAAAATGCTACTAAGACTTTCAAAATACCAAAAAGTCCAAGGGGATTGCAATATGGAAGTTACGTTAATCAGATCAAGAATATATGTATGTGTTTTAAACGTCAACATACAGACGGTCTTGGTTCAACAGACATAAAATTGTATTTAGATCAAGAATATATTTGAGTTTCCGGCAACGAAACGCTGGAACGTATGTCTCAAGTTAGTTTGAAACTTATCCATTATAGATAATTTGTCCGTGCATCTGTAGATTTCTGATCTTAAACGACTCGATAATAAACATTTTGGGGGTACTTCTTTACTAGATATTCTCCATAGGTTTTGGAAAAAATATTCATTAAAAAATCCATGCCTGCAGTTGACATAAAAAAATACATTTTTTTAAATTTTTGCCTGCTGTTACCTCAAAAAATTATTATTTTTAAAAATCCATGCCTTCTACAGGCCTTCTAGGCATTGAAAAAATATTCTTTAAAAATTAACTTTAAAATTATAAAAATATTCTTTAAAATTCCTGCCTCCTTGAGACGTATTAAAATCTACGCCTCCGTGAGAACTACAAAAAATATTCTTTAAATTAAAAAATCCACTTCCACAAAAATCCACAAAAATATTCTTCAAAAAATCTACAATTAGACCTACAAAAAATATTCTTTTAAAATCCATGCCCCTTTGAAATCTAGAAAGGACATAAAAGCCCCTCCACATTTTGGTATAGCCCACAAATGAGGGCCTTACCGTATTTTTGAAAATTTACTGGTATCAGTGGCATATAGAAAGCCGGAAAGAAAATTGATGCTTATAGGGCCACGAAAGTTTTATTTGGGCTAGAAAGTTTTATTTAATATTTTAAAGATAAGTACCTCCTCTCTCCGAAGTGGCTTTAATATGGCATTCCGCGAATTTGGATGGTGAGGAACATCAATATATGAACGTTGCCCTTCACCACACTGTGGTACAGGGTATTATGTCATTGTGCATATGTTTGTAACAGCCAAAAATATTCGAGATAGACCCATGGTTCCTTTTGATAATATGCACAGAATCACTTTTTGAGTCGATTTAAGCATGTCCGTCCGTCTGCCCGCCTGTCCATGTTAAATTGTAAACAAAGTACAGGTCGCATTTATGATCCGAATTGTATGAAATTTGGCACAGCTCATTTGTTGGGCCCAAGGACGAACCCTATTGAAATTGGGAAAAATCGGTTCAAATTTAGATATAGCTCCCATATATATTTTCGTCCGATTTAAGGTAAATAGTGGCGTACCAAAGTCCCTATATATCTTTCTTTTTGCACGAAATTTAGCATAGCGTACTGAATTAAGTCTAAAATGATGTGCGCAAAATTTCATGAAAATCGGTTCAGATTTACATATAGCTCCCATATATAGTTTCGTCCGATTTCATGTAAATGGTCAACTAAAGTCCCTATATATCTTTCGATTTGCACAAAATTGAAAATTTTGAAAATCGGTTGAGATTTACATATAGCTCCCATATATAGTTTCGTCCGATTTTATGTAAATGGTCAACTAAAGTCTCTATATATCTTTCGATTTGCACAAAATTTGGCATAGCGTACTGAAGTAAGTCTAGAATGATGTGTGAAAAGTTTCGTGAAAATCGGTTCAGATTTAGATATTACAGATTTAAGGTAATTGGTGCATCAAAGACCCTATATATCCTTCGATTTGCACGAAATTTGGCATAATGTACTGAATTGCGTCTACAATAATGTGTGCAAAGGTTCGTGAAAATCGGTTCAGATTTAGATATAGCTCCCATATATAGTTTCGCCCGATTTTAGGTAATTGGTGCACCAAAGTCCCTATATATCTTTCGATTTTCACGAATTTTGGTATAGGTTACTGAATTACATATAGAATTGATTGACACAACGTACTGAAGTAATATAAATTAGTCTCTGGCAAGTTTCCCTGAAATCGATTCAGATATAGATATATAACAAACACGCTACGTCTGTTGGGATACTTATGTAGAATATACCCAAAGTGGTGAAGGGTATCATATAGACGGCCCAGTCTGACTTTACTACTTTCCTTTACTACTTCCTTAAAAGGGATTTGAATATAAAGGTGCTATTTTTTATTACATGAGCTTTATTACAAATACTTCTAAAACTAATTTACTAAGACATATATTTTAAATAGTTGGATAGACATCCGCGACCTGTAAAAAAAAAACACAAACTTTTATAACCCTATCCTAGTAGATATAATCCAAAGGCTAAAATTAAAAAATAATACAAAAACATATTTTATAGATATTCCAAGTTAGAGGTGTTCACTGAAACCAAATAAAAAAGTTTCAATTTTTAACCCTTTGTTTGTAAATTTGCCAAAAGTAAATTCCCAATTATCCAAAACGCAGCTGAAAGGCCTTATCTAGTCCGTGTAGTTCTAGTTTAGTACACAATTTTGTTTGTCTTTCTAAATGTGTGTTTTTGATTCATTCTATATGTTTTTGTTAATATTCCAGGCCTACGCCTAAAACTACATACTAATACAGCCGAATATTGGGTGTAAACCATTTAAAAAAAGTGGAGCATAGTAAACCATAAAAATAACATTTTTACATTAAGAGAAAACATAAAAAACTATTGAAAAAGTAATATAAAATACAAAAATAAAAAAAAATCAAACATTGGAACAGGGTTAAAAGACAAAGGTCAAAAATAATAAAAAAATGATATGAATAAAAAATTCAATTAATTAAAAACATTAAAAATATTATACAGAGACCCACAAAAAAAATATATATATATATAATATGTGTCATTGTAATATTACAAAAACAAATTTCGGAGAATCCAAAAAAAAATATTTTTGAAGAATTTTGACCCTGTTCCATTGTTCAATTTCATTTGTCAAAATTTGTTTTAGATTTTTTTAATAAAAATTAAAACCACATTTTAATATTGAAATTTTTTGCTTCTCTTAATTTCCAGGAACCGATGATGAATGCCAGGAATATGATTACCTGGGTGCATGGGGTCCACGTTTTGATAAATTGGCCAATATGTATGGACCCGAGGCCAATAATCACACCGATTTAGAATTGTAAGTGACAAAACATAGAAATGTATAATCACAGCAACAACAAAACGAAAACCTAGTCCGCAGAAACCACAAACAAAAAACAACAAAATAACCATTTATACAAAAAAGAAAACAACAACATATATATCACAAAAATCCTCCATGAAGAAATGACTACACTTTCCATAAAAATGACAAAATGCAGAAGAAGACAAAGAAACTATTAAAAAAATCTCCCCCGAAAACAAAAAAAAAAAACTGAAAACAAACGCGAAAAAAGGCAATTATAAAATTTTTTGATTTGAAACAAAATTGAAAAAATACAATGAAAACCAAAAATGAAAAAAATAAATCCAGAATATGAAGACATTCACTCAGTGATGATGATGGTGGTGGTGATGAGAAAACAATTGGAAGATTGCTAAGCAAACTGTAAAAGACCACACACTCACACACACATCTATATATCAAGAACAAGAAGAAATGCAAACGAAATGAATATCCATTCCATGGGATATTCTGGACAAGAGCATGGCAACTAGAAAAGATAAACTAACAAAAAAAAAAAACCGAAAAATTGTTTCGAAAAAAATAAATAAGAAGAAAAACTACCAAAGATATAAAGGTCTGGCCAAAGACCAAAAACAGAAAAAAACGCGAAAACAAACGGAACGAAAAAAATTCCTCTTCAAAATAACAAAAAAAAAACTACATTTCAAAAAAACAAGTAACAAAACCTAAAAATATAAAATACGAACAGCATTTAAGAGAAAAACAAATAAGGCATCATAACAAAAATATATATGGATAAGAAATCTCCTCCCATAAAAAAGAAGGCAAAGAAGAAGATATACCATTTGTAAAATACTATTTCATTCACACATAAAAAACACCCACACACATACATATATGCAACAATACATTTTAGGACATAATACATACATACATACTCACATATACAAAGAAAGCAAGCATTCATTATTATTATTAAAATTAAAAATAATTATAATTTAATATTTTAGTTTGAAAACTGAAAGTAAAAAAAACAAATCCAAATAATTTTTAGTAAAAAAACAAGAAATAAAAATTAAATTATTAATTAGAAGAAAAAAACAAAAATTGCATAGTTTTAAAAAATAAATTCATAAATACACCCAACCCAAACAGACACTCTCACACAAGTGTAAAACCAAAGTATCTACTTTATAAGTAATAAAATAAAAAAATAATATTAATTAAATAAATAAAATAGAATAAAAAATATATAAAATAATAAAATAAAAAAAATTAAATAAAATTAAGTTTCTCTTTTTTGTATATTTCGTTATTTTATAACAATGCTAAGTATTATTTTTTATATATCATATGGAAATAAGTTATTTATAAATTAAGTTTTTTTATATTTTTAATATATAAGAGAAAAAATGATTTTTTATTTTTTTTTTAATTTTAACACATACGCAGTGTTACAAAAAATTAATAACAAATAAAATTCTCAATAGTGAATTGGTTTAGAATAGTACACCCTAATGGGGTCTTAATGGAAAAAATGTGTAATAAACAAAAACAAAAAGTGAGGTTATAATGAAATAAATAAATTTAAAAAAAATTAGGAAATAATAAAAAAGAATATTTTCTTTTAATATTTAGCCAAAAATTTAGGAATTTTTATCTTTTATTATTTATCCATAATGTATTTAATTTATAACATAACCCCATTTTTTCTATTAGTTTATAACACATTTTTTATAAAAGTGATTTCAATATTAAGAGTACCATTGTAAACCACTTCATATCGGGAGTATTTCTCTTTTTAATTTTTTGTAACATTGTGTGTTTGTTATTTTCCCCCTCTTATAATTTTAAATAATTTTTTAAGTTCATTATACAAATGTTTAAGTATTTACATGTATAGTCTATAACATGTGTTCCTTCCCAGTCTTAATTTGTATGAAAAAAAAATGAAACAACAAGAACAACAAAAATAAAAATAATAAAAAAAAAACAATAAACACAACGATTTTAAAATTCGATTTTTTTTTATTTTCTTCATTTTTGATCCCATTCGATACCTATATTGATAATTGATAAAATGTTTAGGGAAGGGTCATTTTCATGGTGTTCAACAATGGGGTGCAGAAAAGAGCCAGTGTGGGCAAAAACATTTTCCGGGAATTTCCAAAAAAACTATTACGACATTGCTTTCATTTTGGTTGGTGCAGACCAGAAATTGGAGGAATATGTCCGTATAACTCCGAACTCATACCTTGGAATAGGCTGCATATAATGGCAATGATACCGTCCCTCTTCTTTAGACTTTTTAGACGCCTTTAACTGTAATTTCGGGTTCTCAGCAATACTAAAAATATTTGAGACTCTTTTCACAAAAATCTTAACAATCGTTTTGCGGAATGAACAAAAAAAAAAAACAAATTTGTAATACCCTTCACCATGGGATGTGAATTTGAAATTTCTTAAATAGTTTGGAATTTTAATATGAAGATTATGTCATTGCAAATTGTCTGCTTGTAGATTTTATATTTGAGAAACTGAAATGAAATTCAATGTAGAGAAAATTAAGCAGCGATTTTATGTGGTACTTTACTTACTTAGTTGGCTCTAGACCGAACATTTGCTCTGTAAGCCGAGCTTCAAACAGATTTTCATACTCGTCGGTCTTGTGCGCAGATTTTCCAATTTGAAAGATTAAGTTTCGATATGTTGTTTTTCACTTAATATTTCCATCGAATTCGTGGCATTCCCCTTCTACGTCAACAGTTGGCTTAGTTTCGTCATTTGAACTGGGGCATCCTAATCCATTCTCACAACATGACATGATACGTCTGACTATTTCGATACCCGAATAGATGGTACAAATCATGGTTCACTCGACGGCGACATTCACCGTTGACACAGATCTACATCATCTGCTTGCGCGAGTACCCATGCTTCAGATCCATACAACAGCACGGTTGGTATCAGTGTCTCATACAGTGTGAGATTGCTCTGGCTCGCTTTAATATGACTTTTGAGTCGGGGCATCCTCATCCATTCTGACAAAAAGGCCTAACTACATAGTCCTTGCGGCTCGATACGTTTGACTATGTTGATGTCCGAGAATAAATGGTACAACTCATGGTTAATTCAATGCCGATATTCACCGTCGGCCCGTACATCTTTCGTACAATTTTTCTCTCAAACACTGGAAGAGCTGCTTAATCTGCTTGCCCAAGTACCCATACTTTAGATCTATATAACAGCAAGGGTAGTATCAGCGTCTTGTAGAGTGTGAGTTTGATCTGGCGAGAGATGGCCTTATTTCCGACTTGCTTATTTAGACCATAGTAGCATCTGTTGGACAACACTATCCTTCTGCATATCTCAAGACTGATATCATTTGCTTTGTTTATGGCAATACCGAGGTAGATGAAATCTCTGACTACCTCAAAGCTGTAGTTTTCAAGTTCCACAGTTGGTCCGAGTCTACTGGACGTCTTGCGCGTTGATACCGTCAGCTTAGTCTTTTCGCCATTTACTGCCAGTCGCACTTTGGCAAACTCCTTCCAAATTCATTCAAAGGTGGATGCTGCCGATCGCAATGTTAGACCCATTATGTCTATAACGTCGGCGTAGGGGAGTAACATGTGCTGTTTGGTGTACAGAGTGTAATTTCTGTACACCTTTACATCTCGTATGACCTCTTCCAGCAGAATGTTAACAAGTGAAAAAGCGTTAAGTTCGGCCGGGCCGAACTTTGGATACCCTCCACCATAGATATACTGACAGGTACTTAAAATGAAAATATAGGGAAAATAAAAAAGTGAACATATATCGACATTTCCACATACCAGTTATGTAAAACACAATGTAAACTATAAAACAAATTTCAGAAATTTTTAATGGATAATGAGGGTGTATACACTTTTACACGGTTAAAATGGTTCTAGACCCCATGTTTCTTTGGACCAAATTTGTTTCAGAAAATTTTGATTTCATCCAAACTTTGGCCATCTTATAATTTCTTCCAAACTTACTTCAAGTTTGAAGATGGGGAATATCGGTCCACTCCTTCTGGTACCTCCCACACAGGGGCTAGGTCTAAATACGGGTTATAGTTCATATATAGTTCATTATTGAACCTTACGTTCTAGTTTTTAATCTCGATATCCTCCGCAGGTGATATGATTACAACAGAGTCTTAGAACCACCCCAAAACGCGGAACAGATTGCATAACTATTTTAATATAAAAAAGGGGGTTATATAGGGACTACCCCAAAAAGGGGGTACATATTAATAATTTTTTGTAGGGAAATTTGTTACCATATACGACTACAAAATACCAAATTTCAGGGAATTCGGTTGAAAAACGTGCTCAAGAACTTCAAAATAGCGAAAATTTGGGGGTACCCTTATATGGGGGCTACCGGAAAAAGTGGACCTATATTTATAATTTTTAGTGGGGGAATTTGGTACCCTATAAAAACCCAATGTACCAAATTTCAGCGAATTTGGTTGAAAACCGCGCTCAAGATCCCTAAAATACCGAAAATTGGGGGGTACCCTATATGGGGGCTACCCGAAAAAATTGACCTATATTTATAATTTTTCGTATAGAGATTTGCTACCCAATAAGAACTCAAAGTACCGAATTTCAGCGAATTCGGTCGAAAAATGCGATCAAACCCCCCAAAATACCTCAAAATTGGGGGTACCCTTATATGGGGGCTATCCGAAAATATGGACCCATATTTATAATTTTCAGTGGAAAGATTTGCTACCCAATAAGAACTCAATATACCAAATTTGAGCGAATTCAGTTGAAAAACGCGCTCAAGAACCTCAAAATACCGAAAATTGGGGGGTACCCTTATATGGGAGCTATGCCTAAACGTGGACCGATGAAGCCCATCTTCGAACTTGACCTGCCTGCAGACAAAAGACGACTCTATGCAAAATTTTGGCGATCTATCTCAATTCGTTTAGACGCTAGAGTGATTACAACAGACAGACGGACAGACAGACAG